ATTACTCTAGAAAAAAAAGAAAGGGACACTCTAAAATGGACAAAAAAATAGAGACAAATTATTTTGCGAATTTGAAGCGAAAATATTGTTTTGGAAATTTTTTTAGGTTTATCTCGAAGCATTTCATATAAAATACATTATAATAAAATAATCATTTAAAAAGATAAAATTGAAATATATTGCAAAAATAACCATTTATAAAAAATGATTTAATATAATATAAGGCATAAATCGTAATGGATCAAATAAATGGTATAAAGAGACTATAATATTCGTCATAGCGAATTTTTAGTAATATTAACCGAACTTTTACTTATTGTTTATCGTTTTCAGGTCTATGACTTGTTGGCCATTTTTTTAATATATGGGGAAGAATTTATGTTTTATAAGATTTGCGCGGAAATCCGTCATAATGACATTCAAAAGGGGAAAACCACGCTCACATTCGGCCGTACTACATGGAATTCTGTTAATTCAATTTTGGAACTCTTATATCACGGTTATTAAGTTTTTTATTGTCATCAATATATTCCCTTATCCCTTTTATTGCGAGATTCATTAGAACTTTATCGGAAACAAATTCACTTAGTTTGTCTTCCTCGATTAGCAAGAACAGATTCTCCGATAATTTTAAACGTTGATTTAAACAATGCCTGGGTATAATCGTTGGATATAATGCTAAAAGATGCTTTGCTACACCAGATTTCTCCCAGTCATTACACTGATGTCATGACTTACAAGAAAACTCGGCGGATTTAAGATCCAATAGGGTAGGAACAATCTCATCTGCATCTTTTAGTTTCAATCAGATCGAGAAATATAAAAATAGATTCATCAAAGTAACTATTTTACATAAATAACCAAGGCTATGACAATATTCTAGATTTCTCTACAGGATAGCGTTGGATTGTTAATTGATAATAATATTTACAATTTTCATAAGCATTACTTTGGAAATGCTTTCAATTAATAACAAATCAGCATAAAAATGCAAATTATGTACCATATCTAAACCATTGTGCTCTTGTAAATCTATTAAGATTCAAAATTTACACAACGATTTGCTTTTGCAAGATAATATCTATTAAATATTAATTATTTATATTTGGTTTCATAGCACTTTTCAGCAGCTTTGTATGCATCTGAATTAGCATGTTTCCAAATTTTTTTAACGTAAACCATCGTAATTTATATGTTCTGTCTTGTAAATGGCTGTTGCAAATTTTATAAACCACACCATTCACTTGACATATGCAGTTCTTATGGGGAAGCAGGGTTACAGCTGGTAAAGGCAAGTCAAAACAGATGTCTCATATTACTATTGGATATTACACCTTTTTAAGAACCAATTAAAATAGAGAAGGGTTAGTTTTTGAATTAAAAATTTTTAATTTACATTAATATACATTGTTAAAAAAATAATATGTTTATTTCATGATGAAAAATATTAATAATATGCTAATGTACTAATGTACTAATATACTATTATAAAAAAAATTAATTTGGAAGGGGAACGCCGTGCTCTCTACTTCCTTAAAAATTTTTGGCGTAGGCATGCTAAATTTTTTCAAAATCGACGTGGGAATACTGCGGGCCACCCAATGCCCCCCTTCCAACTACCTCACTTTGTCAATGAGAATCAAAAATAATTAGATGAAATTTAAAAATAAAATAAATTAGGACAAAGAAATTGTTAAGACGAAGAAATGGAAAAAGAATGGTTAAAAATGACATAAGAATTTTAAAAAAATCACAGGGGAAATAAGGAAATTATTTTTAGAAAGATAAAAAAAGAATAATAAAAGATGAGAAAATAAAAATTAATAAAATTGGGGAAAAATGGTAAAAAAGTATCAAAAATTAATTTAAAGGCAAAGAATTATTTACTTTTTGATCGCATTTTTTTAGATGAGAAAGTTGTGTAGCACAGCACAATATATATTTTGTAAATTTCTTTCCCCTAAATAGGCAGATCATTTAATACCAAAGATTAAGATATTATATAAGTGGAAAACTACTCTATAGGATTGATAATAGTTTATAAAATTATAATTGACATTTTTTTTAATAAAGGTTTTATTGGGAATCCTATGTTTACTTCAGCAGCTCAAGAAAATTATTAAAAACTTATACCATTTCTTGAATGAATATATCCCTATATTCCACATGTTTCCGCCTTTTAATTACATTTTTGCTAAAATTCATTTAATCATTCAAAAACAAGAATATAACATAATATAATTTATGTGTAAACAGAAAATTAGACATTGCGGCTTCCATTTATATCGATTATTTTGGTATATTTGAGTATAACATGTTATTCTTATTTGTAAACTAAATTAAAATTTTTATAATAAAAATTTCTTTCCTTTTGCAACTCAGACATTCAACCAATTAAATCCTTTTTATAAATATATATTTTTTTAAAATAAATATAATATTGTTTATTTCAATTTTAAGGTCTTTCGTTGACGATCAATTTAGAAAAAAGATATGCAACGAGCCAGAAGTCTTTTTAAAAATAAATCCTGGCTAGTCTTAAAAATAATTTTTATACACAACAAGGGCAAGGTATAATCAAAAAATTTATTAAATTATCAACTAATTAGTTCATATAATAAAGTGTTTAACTATTTACAGTAACATAGCGTTCATATCATCCAAGCCATACTCGAAAATGAAAAAAATATAATCTAACCCGATCCAAAAATTCGACCACTGCAGGTTAAAAATAAATATAGATTTTAAAAGATTGTCTAACAAAACAATATTTAGATGTGTTCTTAAACAGAGTAAACCATTAAAATCTTGAATTGCCCCCCACCTTCTCCCCTAGAGAAAGAAATTTTTTCCCTTAATTAAAAATTAACATTACAAAGCTTTTATTTAAAAAACATAGAAGAAATTAGTTTAAAATGAAATGCATAAGATAAAGGACATATATATTACAAAAATTTTGATCATTTATAAATAACCGGAAAAATCCTTAAAATATTAATTATACATCATCAAATCTCAAATGGCTGCTTTTGTGTTACGAAATTATACACATTTATATATTAGTGTTGTGGTTGATATGTTTTTTTTTTCAATTTTAACATGAATCGCTATATTTCTCAATAATTAAATTTATATCGATTTATTTTTTTAAAATATTATTTTTAATAATGTGTGAGAAATAATAATATTTAGATAACATTTTTTATTAAATGTTACATAATGTTTATTTTATTCCCTTGAAGATTCGATTATAATTTAATTTATGAAAGTAGGAGGGGGAGGGAGAGAAGAGCAAAACTGTTTAACAGTAAAATTTCACATCAAATTATTTAAATTTTTCTATAAGTGATCATTCTTTCACTTTACAAACGTTTAATGAATTTCAATAGAACATAATTAGACTTGAAAATAATTACAGCATTGGTAATTGGATGCTAACAAAATTTTAGAAAATATTTGTAAGAGGAAATTTACTTTTTTAAGTGTTTTTTTGTCCGGCATCCGACTTACTAGGCCATTATTGTAATGTCTCGCATTTTTTTAAATATTGAATTATCTTTCATATCCATACATTGAAAGAATGTTCAAAAGTGTTATTGTTATTGGCACTTTGAATGCATTACAAAAATATTTTTACATTTTAACATCAGTCAAAGAGAGTAAAATTTTAAATTTTAATGCTTATAAATTGATGCGTTTTTGTTTTGTGGTATTTCAAACAATTTATTTCAAATGTTATCATTCATATTGGTAAACAAATTTTTGCTTGATTATTTAAAAATACCTCACCCGATTTAAACAACAGCGTTTTATAGAATAACACAATGCTAAAGCTTCTTACTCAATTAGTAAGCAATATTAGATAATTATGTGCAAATTTGGATAAGGCTCTAATTACCCCTAAAAATATGAAAATTATAGCATGCGACAACAATTCTACAAAGATTGGATTTGGAACGCGTTTATCATGAACCAAGTTCTTTTTGAAAAAATTGATGACCAGAGTTCCTTTTATTTTTGACAAACGTGAGCGCCTTCCTTTTTTGATGAACGCCTTCATGTTTTACGTTCTTTCCATTTATAAAAATCTCCTTATTCTTATTCATTTGAAAATAAAAAATATTAATCCGAATTTTTTAAGAACAAAGGGTTATTTTAATTTAATGTTTCCTTTATCATATTTTTAACCCCACACTATTTCTGTCCTATAATATAGATCATTATTTTTATAGATTATCATAAGCATGAATGTTGTTTCTCAATCATCATCATCTGATAATTACCATGGCCCAAATATATTAAATGCTTTCAAACTAGATTCTATCTTCACCCATTGGGGGGGGGGATTTTTGGAAGGTAATTTTTTTAACTAGAACGAATATTTGTGTTATTTGATCACAAAATTGAAAACTACAATGATTTATTTGAAAAATTCCACATATAAAAATTAAATTTTGATCTATTTTATAAAATAAGATAAAAGATGAGAAATGACTTTTAATTATTTTACAAAAACGTTGATATAGTTTAATTGTGCTTGTATAATATTTGTTAGGGAATCAATTATAAAATATATGTAATATAAGGCTGGAATATGATTTCGGCTTAAAATCTTACAAAATTAAAAAACGCTCACTATAATTTTATTTTGTTTTAATTTTAATATTTTTTTTATATAACCTGAGAAGTTTTTCAGAATAGTATTAAAGTGATTTATTTAAATAAAATTGTTAGCTCATGCCCTTGCTAGATTTACTTTATTTTTTAATAAACAAACAAAAATTGTAATTAACTAGCCGTGGGATTATTATTTTTTTTTTTTTAAAAATCTTTCATTGTTTAATTTAAAATAATTTTGAGACCTCGTACTAATTAAATTCGATGGGAATTCTTATAGTGCGTACAAATTGAGCTTTTCAAAGCTCCGTTTTAAAAGCAAATAATGCATTTTAAATGGTGTTGTGCAAATTGGATTTTTTTACGGCAAGCGTTAAAAAAAAGCAATCTGGTTTAATTTTTTTGTCCTTTTTTATTTTTGCGGGAAAATTTAAATGGATACAAAAATGTAAGTATAAATTTTTCTCATATATTAATTGATATTATAACATTTAGAATATATAAATTTATATTTATATAATATTAGAATATATTAAATGATATTTTATATAATTTATTCATTTATATTTATAGCCCAGTGGGTCAAAAGTAAATAGACTTGTGGAGGAAAGACTCTTGGCTCTTTAGGAAAAGGTGCCATCCGAGAGCCAGTAAAATATATATTTTTATCTATAAATTTAATATAATTTTAGATTGTATCTACTATCAATGGAAGCAGGCTTAGAAAGCATGGACCATAATAATAGATACCTCTTCAAAAGTGAGACATCAAGATTGTATCATAATTTGATGTTGCAATCTAAATATCAAACTAATGTTGAAATATCTACTTCAACAGAAACACCTTCAAATGATACACCTTTATCTTTATATAATGATATAATATCTTAAATATTTTTGTATTGTAAATATTTTTATTTTTATATATTTATAATAAAGTAATATTCTATATTATAGTGTCCATTTTTGAAAAAAATATAAGCTAAAATTTGGGAGCTATTAAGATGTAGTAGTGTGTATATATATTATAAATTTTGAAACAATAATTATTTAGAGATCTAAATTTGAAGCCTTTCTAGGATTTTAATTCATTTACATATTTTTTTAATCTAAAAAATACCACTATATTTTAAAAAGATTACAAGCTAGGATAAGTATAAATCTAATGTATCCTTGCATTTTTTTTAACCATAATTTAGCCAATATTATCTTCAGAATATGTAAAAAAAATAATAGTGTTTGTAATTTTAAGATATTGACCTTTTATATAGATAACTTTTATGGTTTATTGAGCCAATATTTTATTTTGACATCACCTTATGTAAATATAATAAATTAAATGAAATAAAATTGTATTATAAGACATTTAATACTCTCTTACATGTTCTAGTGATCATTTTTATTCTTAAAGAAAGAAAAATATATTTAAAATTTTTCTATTTGCATTATTTGTTAATCTATTTAATTTTATATAATAGATATCTTATTCTATTTAAGGTGAATATATATAAATAAACAAACTTTTATAAATTTATTTAGCATTTTTATTTAAATTTATAGATTATTATAAATATATTAAGGTAGGATAAATAAATAAATTTACAAATGTGTGTAGATTTTTTTAAATACTATACATTAAAAATCATTTATGAATTTAAAAAATCTTTGAATAAATTTCTATCCATGAATATTTTAGTAGTCTTCCTTCTCGTCTTAGTAGATTTTGGTTTTTTAATAATTAAATATAAAGCAATAATTTGCTTATCTTGTAAACTTAATATGTCCATATTTTAATAAAAATAAAATCACGATTCAATTTTAAACAAAGAAAAAACGTACTGCTTTCAATTTAAACACAGATGCATTACGTTAAAAAACGTACTGCAAACACAAATGCTCAATTTGTGCGCACTATTATGGAAATAAAAGAATTTCGACATATCTACTAGAGATCAAAAATTCGGGCCAGGCCGAGTAGGGTTTAAATTTTTAAATATATTATTCAATTTTATGATATAAATTGTTATATTTCATTTTGTGTTATAAATTGATATATTTTAAAATTCTTGCAAGAAAAAAAGGCGCCAATACTTTTTATTTAGAGAATTTTTTTACAATTATAAAATTAAAATTTTTTTCTATATTTAAATAAACTCGGGCCTGGCGGATATATAATTTTTATTTAGTTCCGATGCTGATCACTTATATCTATTAGGAGGTCAAATCCGTGGATATCATTTACAATCGCGGTAACAGAAAATGAAATACTTATCCTTTACTTTAAATTGGTTTTATGGAAATATTTATTAATACATTCTTTAGCTTAGCGTATTAGTGTTGTTGATTGCTGTCGATCAAAACAAATCCAAATAATAACACTTCTAATTGGATTTATCTTATAGTTTACTTTTCAATCTTTCTTCTTTTCCAAATTTATTTATTTTATATAATTATTTATTTTATATAATTATTTATTAACTCTCTCATCAAACTAATCATGACTGAGAGAGGGATGACGAAGAATAAGATTTAAATAGTTAATCAAGACTACGGAGTACAAAATTCTTTTTAAATAATTTACAAATTTAATCCATGAAACGAAATCTAATTTTAAAAAATTAATCAAGCGTCTTAAGTTACTAGTTTCATTATGTTTAAGGATGTAAGTAGCTTTAAAGGAATTTCTGCGGCATTGGGAGTTTAGATGGCCTTTGATGTATCCATAACATTATCAGAAAACTTGACATAATTATTTAGGTGAAAGCCATATTAGGTTAATAACATCCTATTTTTGTATTTTTCAACATAAATTAACCAAGTTTAACTAAAGGTACAGAAGGAAATTGCTGTTTATTCGAATTTCCTAATCTGAGGATTATTTTTGAAGAACTATTTTATTTATCCCCTTGGCTTGGCATATAATTTTTTCAAAAAATAATTGGTTGTAATATTTTTTAGACTAACGCCTGCTTGCTACCAATTTTAGAAACAGTGCTGTTATATATTATATCAACAACAAAGCAAAACAAATAGCAAATATAAGTTCTGTCTACCATAAGTAATAATTAATAAATATAAATAATCAGATTGTCGGTTACAAAATATTTATTTTAAAGGATTTATTAAGATAAAAAAAGGCATCAAAAATTAAAATTCCTTTGTAGATTCCAATCTAAAGAAAAGTGAACCTAAACAATAAAATTTATAGATAATGATCTGAATTATAAACATTATCTCTAAATGTTACTTTTGATATGTTGCCGCTAACGAAATACATTGTTAAAAATATAAAATTATTACTTAATTTGTAATTAAAAATATATAGTTTTTTTTTTTTAATATATGCAAAAGGTTAATACATATAACACAAAATTTTGATTTATGAATTGTCTCCTTTTTAAAAAAAATATTTATTTAAACATTGATCATCATGATTGTCGGTTGTCAACAACAATATGTCTTTTTTTTTATTTTTAAAAAGACTAAAAATTAAGTTAGATATAATTTCCCTGTGAGAAAGAAAGAATCCCAAAAATATAACTTCTTGCGAAAAACCCCATAAAATTTATAAATGCTTTTCAATTTGCAGGGGCTCAATAGGCGCTCGAAATCTAAAATTTCAATCAATTTAATATTTTATTTTTTACTTCAAAATTTGTATATTCAAATTTTTGTTTAGAGAGCTTTTCGAATTTTGATGGAGCTCAAGTTTATAATAAGGCCTTTCTAGTGATGAAATGACGCCCTAATCAGACCCTTATAGCTTATATTCACTGGCATCCAGCGTCTACATGAGCGGGAGGGGTAGGAACAGTGTGCATCCTATTTTTTGAGGGGGGTTGGGGGTAGGCTGCTTTAATGGGGGTAGGATAAATTTTTTGGGGGGTTATCTATTAAATTTTGAGTAAAATAGGACAAAATTTATTGCTGTAAAAATTAATACTTTTATTATATAATTATTATAATACAATTCATACACCAAATCTATATATTGCAAACAATCATACACATTGTTTTCCAAATAAAACTTTCTGCTATCCTTTTAAATATAATTTAAAAGGTTTAGATATTTCAGCAAGCTCATAATGCCATAATAATTAATTTACTGTAAATAATGTAGGTTTTAATTGAATTTATTATCTAAAAAATAAATTCTTTATATTCACAAAATATCGATAGTTGGTAGTAGAGATAGATTAATTTAAGTTATCCTAGATAAATTTTCTGAAAAGAGTATCAATAAATTAAAAAGGTGAAAATAATAATAAATAGACAGACACCGCCGCCGAAGATGGTAATTTTTTTTAGGATGGTAGGCAAGGGTTTTTGAAGGGGGTTTGCATCCAATAAAAATCCTGTCATGTAGACGCTGCTGGCATCAAAAAAATATTATGGGGTGTTTCGCCCCTATAAATATGTTAGAGCATTTTTTAATGATATAAATTATATTAGAATTACCTGTTAAATAATTAGTATTCATAGATTTGATTTATATTTTAATTTAAAAATCATTTATTTTTAGATAAGAATATTTTTGCACATGATTTAGTAAAAAAAATATGAGTTAAAGTTTCCTAAATCTAAAGAATAAGGAGGAGTGGCTGAATTATATGCAAGAAGGAATATTCAAAGAGCATGAAAGGAAGAGTGGATTAAGTAATTCACTGTAAAGAATGAGTTCATGGTACCAATAATGATTTATTTGTTTGTTATTTATGTAAAAAATGGTAATAGGAAGTAAAACCCACGGAAATAAACCCCCTCCCCTTTAAAAATGTTAAATAACAATAGTATTTTTTTTTTCAAATTTGACGCTTATAAATAACACTTGAAATTTTTTCACATAATATAAGATATCTTTCACGAGATCTGATGAGGAATCATTAGGGATTCTTTATTATAATAATGTGGGGGGGGGGGAGGGGGGGGGGGGGTAAAGTAAGAGGGGGGATTAGAGGGTGAGGCAAAGGAAGGTGTAAAATTAGACCAAAGCGTTCAGTCATATATGTTATCGGAAGTCAATAAAAAGAACTCTAAGTAGTCACAAGTTAAAGCACAACACTCAAATCTTCAAAATTTAGAAGGCCTAATTATTGAAGGTATTAGTTTAAATATAATTATATTAATAAAAATTTAATATTCTAAGTGATTTGGCAAATTGTGGTTCCCAGAACTGAAAAAGATTTTTATTATTTGATATTGCCCAAATGCTGAAGAACGTATGATCATGTTTGCAAAGGATGAATCCTTAAATTTAATAGCTAAGACAGAATGGTATATGGATAGAAATTTTGCCATGTCTCCAAAAAATTCTCTACAATTATGTGTTATTAGAGTATCAATAACGCTATTTAATCAAAGCTCATTATTGTATACTCCAAAAAAAACGAGGGATTTATTTCCTGATCCATTATATATATATATATATGTGAATTTCGAATAGTGTGCTATGAGAGCGGTTAAAACTATCACTAGTATGATTATCAATATATTTATATTTATTTTTTAATTAGGGCATCACATAGTAATCAGAGGATGCTTTTACCATTTGTGTCAAATTACTTATAGAAAAATTTTAAAGCTAGGTCTGTAAAGCCAATACAGGACCGATAAACTCTAAGCTTCTTTTGTGGCAGGTAGACGGCTTAGCATTGTTCCCTTATGCGTTATAGCCGATGCAATGACATTCCTGAGTTCGGTTACTCCGAACAATGGTAAGGATATTCTTGATTATTTCGATAAGAATTATCCATGGAAAATTAAGAGATGTCGCAAGGAGCAATTTCCAGTCC